CAAGGACAATATTATGCTTGATCAAATTGTGCATTGTAGATAATTTTTAAATTTAAAGTTGTAAACATAACAAAAATCTTAATGTAGTTCACAATTTATCTAAATAATTGACATTTGTCAAAATTTACGTGATAACAACATTTATACATTCGAAATGTTTTGAAATGAGAGAATATAGCTAGAGAATGTAGATCTTCCCTTTTATTTCCTTGCTTGCAGAAAACATCGGAATGATATTTTCGAACCTTTCTTGCCAAAATAAAATCTTTCAGGTTGCTCTATTCAAAAATACCTTTGCCCACTTTAACTAGTAGTTTCAATTTCCTTTTCCTTCTTAAACATTCTTTCAAGAAAATGTGAATTTTGAAGCGTGGAACAATATGCATGGTTCAAAAATGCTACATTTGGATCTTAAAGATGATAATATAAACATAAAAAGGAGGGGGAATATAAATATAATGGACAAATCATAAAGTGAGAAAATGCTACGGTCCCGTAAAAACCATTCTGTCGGGGTTTGTAGCTTTTAGATCAATTATCTCTGACGGTTACAAATTCCAACGGAATTGTTCCGTAACGGGACCTTAGCATTTCCTCATAAAGTGATAGTGAATTCTTAAAGACTATATATTGTTAATCATCAAAAGACAAACTCATAATTATTTTTAGTTATAAAGCAATTATGGAGAGTGGACTAGCACAAAGGCACGTATTTGTTACAAATGGAGCCAACAAGATATAAGCATTTGTGGGGAAAACTTTTCATAAGAATGTGGCAAGTTTTGTGTGAGATAACTTAATTGGTGGGCAATCTTTATATCATTACACTTAAAAATCTTTTCATAAGTCCAATTTACCGACATTAAAGCATTAATTTGGTATGTAAATGGATTTAAGTTTTTAAATATCATACAAAAAAATAACTAAAATCAAAAATATTTTCAATACAAAGAGATGGGGACTTTGTTGATGTATAGAAGAGACTTAAGGGTAGATCAAATCATCTTTACACTCAATCATTTGGCCTCCGTTTTGCTCTCGATGCGGGATTTTCGATTCAATATGCCAAGATAGTCGCCCTTGCGGTTGTTTGTGGTTTGTTAGATATGTCGTCAACTGTAATATCCCGATGTTTTATCGGTATAAATTACGTTTAATTCCGATATAGTAATG